ACTTTTCTATTGATACCTTACATGACATACTTTGTAGAAGATTTATGGAAATTGTGCAACAGTGAAAACAACAGTGAAATAAGTCACCTTTTTTATACACAGCATCACAGAGCCAATCAGACTTCAAAGTAGAGGTGCTAAAGCTTAGAAAAATTGAAAATTATGTTGCTTTAGCTATTTGTAGAGCATCATCTCTGCAGTATCTAGGTATCTTTTGCTCTCACTCTATATTATACAGAGTGTTAGCCTGGCTGGTGACTGGAGGAAGATCTTACATGAGAATGTAATAAGAATAGAAAAAGACATACTGCTTATTGTAATTATTGTTTAACCCCCGTTTCTTCTGCTTGCCCCAGGCCTATCATCTTAACTAGTCTTGGCTTTTCTGTGTCCATCATTCTGCATCTATGATAGAACAGCAAGCACCTTATCTTTCCTCCTTTCAGCAATTGTCTGACCTTCTCATTATTAATAACCTCCTTAACCTGACATGTCCTTTTGTATGTTCCTGACTAACTTTCATTGTAAACTCTGTGAGGTTGAGAACATTACTTAACCTATCTTTGTAAAGCAGCATGTGGATTTATAATGCAATAAGTCATTTAACTCATTTTGCATAGTGTTTTTAGACAGGGATAGAAATGATAAGGTAGACCAGCAGTTCTCAAACTGTGGGTCACGACCCCACAGTGGTTTGCGACCCTGTTTTAATGGGGTTGCTAGGATTGGTGTTAGACTTGCTGGAGCCTGGGGCCAAAGCCCAAGCCTCACCACCCAAGACCAAAGTCCAAGCCCAAGCCCCATCTCCAGGGCAGAAGCTGAAGCCCAAGGGCTTCAGTCCTTGTTGATAGGGCTCAGGGTTACAGGCCCCCCGCCTGGGGTTGAAGCCCTCGGGCTTCGGCTTTGGCCCCCCTAACCTGGGACAGTGGGGCTTGGGCTTTGGCTTTGGCCCCTGGGGCGACTGGGCTCGGGTGGGCTCAGGCTTCGGTCCCCCCTCCTGGCGTTGTGTAGTAACTTTTGTTGTCAGAAGAGGGTCGCGGTGCAATGAAGTTTGAATTAAACTGTACTTCTTTAAAGTAAACAAGGAGTCTTAGTAGCACTACATAATAGGGCAAGCTACAAAATTAGCCTTGTTTAGAGAGTGCACTATTCTTTGAAAATATTTTTTAAAAAGCAAGTATATAGTAGCTCAAAACCAATATACCAAAAACAATATAAATTACACCTGGAAATTACTAGGAAGCCAGTCCACAGCAGACGTCATGTAACACCCTTTAAATATGGGCTACCAAATTTAACAGTAGCTGAAATGTCTGCCTGGTCTTACGGGGTAACTCCATATAGAACCCACTGCAATAATCCAATCTTTAGATGACAAAGGCATATATCACCAAGTAACATCTGCTTCCAGAAGGAAACTTCAGACACAAAACAGATGGAAGGTGAAAAAAAAATCACATTTGGTTGCTACTATTCCCTGAATATCCACAAATAAATAAGGCTCCAAAAAGATCCTTGGACCAGGAACCTGTATAATAAAACCTCAAATTTTAAAGCCCAGAAGGGACTATTATGTCACCTAATCTGACCTCCTCTATAACACAGGCCGTAGTATTTCATCCAGTTACCTAATAACTTGTTTGACTAAAGCACATCTTCCAGAAAGTCATTTAATACTGATTTGAAGACATCAAGAGATGGAGAATCCACCAATGGACATAAAGAGGGAAACAATAATATTTTCTAACATGAGTGGGAAAGCTGATGATTGGGGAGCTTAAACCCCCTCCCACTCCAACATTGACAATGACTCAGGGAAACAGTTTCCCTCCCAAAAAAGAGAAGTGGCTGACATTAAAAAGCATGTGAAAAAACCCAAATCTGAGAAGATTTTATATCACAAAGGTATTAAACAAAAGAATAATCGTTGTCTCATGTCCCCATTCTCCTTTATGAAATGGGCTCCCTGGCCAGATTATATCTCCCACAATGCACCATGTCCTCTCTCCAAGTGGAAAGACTTCTTATGGCATATGACATCTGATGGCACAAATAATGAATTAGATATTGGGTAAATAATGTAGCCACTATCACAGCAGCAGCATCTGGAGATGTCAAGCATGTCCATCCACCATCAAGATGAGAAAGAGGGCAGTCCATAACAAGATGGCATGCTGTGTGTTCTTGAGCACCACAGAGGCAGGACAGGGAGCTCAAGACGCTCAACTGTCAAGATGTAAGTTAAACCACCCATGGCCACAATGTATCCTGTTGTAATCTTTCAATTCATATGGTTGTTCTTAGGTACATGCAAGACCTAATGCAAAGAGACTAGGAGACAACGATCTGAGTTTTCTATCTGCCCAGAAATGCGCCATCGATATAAAATATAGTCTCATACCACCTGTTGCCAGTGTTCCTTAAAAAGGTTAGCAAAAAGAACGAGGAGTACTTGTGGCACCTTAGAGACTAACACATTTATTTGAGCATAAGCTTTCGTGGGCTAAAACACACTTCATCATCTGATGTATTGTCTGAGAGGCTCAACTATTTCAGAAAAGGAGCTTCTTTACTCAGCACGTTTGATGTGGCTTTGAGATGAAATTGTGAAGTAAACTGTCCTGATAGTTGGCTGCGCGCAGTAATGCAGCCAGGGCACTGCCTTCACACCTAATCTCTGGGGGAGCAATGCCAGACAGGGTTGGAAATTGGAGCTGTCTGGGTTGCACCAGTAATGATATGAAGGGCAGAGTTGATTGTTGAGTCTAGCTTGCCACAATGAGGACTGAAGCCCATGCTGTTGCACAGTATTCAGCAAGTGCAATAATTAGGGCATTTGGTAGACTGCCAGAAACTGGGACTGGACAACAGGGATTGGATGAGTCGCTGGTAGATGTCCCTAAGGTTTCAACACTAGTACCCCATGAAGAGATACCATTGCACACCATGGGAGATGTAGTCTGACCAAGGAGCCCAGCCTATACAAGGAAATGGAAGCACAAAGCACCCTGAACTACAACTCTTATGAGGCACAACGGCAGCATTTCTGGATTTACAAATTTAGGTTTACGGCCAAAATATTTCAGTATTGAATTTTCATTGAAAAATAAAAATTTTCCAAGAAAAATTTACACAAAAATTATTTTTTTTCAGTTTCATCAAAAAGTTCTGTGGACACCTTGGCACCTTCCCCCCATGCCCCTGTTTTCTGACTGGCTCCAGTAATTAACTATAGGAACAATTTAACTAAAGATATGGTGGATTCTATCACTTGAACTTTTTAATCACGACTGGATATCTTTCTGAAAGATGTATTATAGCTCAAACAGAAGTTATGGGCTTGATGCAAGAATTGCTCAGCAAGATTTTATGGTCAGTTTTATCAAGGTCAGACTAGGTAATCTGGCTTTAAAAATCTTTGAAACCAGTGTCTCAGGCCTTGCCCCAGAGGCCTCTGGGTCAGCGTCTTGGGCCTTGGCTCCATACACCAGAGCCCTCTTGGCCAGAGTCTTGAACCTCAGCCTCACATCCCAGGGGCATTATTAGCCTCTGTGCCTTGGCTCCACACCTAAGGTCCCTGTTAACCACTATGGCTTGGCACCAAACCAGGGGCACTGTTAGTCTGTATACCATGTGATGCTTTCTGGGGGGTACCCAGGGCTGTGATGCATCTCATTACCACCTACCTTTAGTATGTTTATGCCTGCTGGGGTCACTCCCCAACTCCTCTGGCAATGGGCAACACAACTCCTCTAGGTCTATGCAGCTCCCACTGTCTCTTTACAGGTTAGCAATAGGCACACTCCATCCTCCCCCCCCAACCTCCCTGCCCTCTGAGCATCTCCATGGATTGTCCAGCCCCTACTCCACTGGACACTCACAGTATTCACTGCTCCCAAAGGAACAGTACACCCCAACTTCCTGCTTACACCTTAGGTAATGGCTCCATTTAACACACAGTGCTTATATAAGATCATAGTAAAAAGAAACATAAGTTTATTTAACAAAGGATTGAGATTCTAGTAGGAGCAAGAGGAATTATTAGAAGGAGGTGGATACATAAAATAAAATCATAACACACTTTCTAGAATCTAGACTTATTTAACTAGATACTTTTATGTCTTATAGAGCAATACTCATCCAAAGTCCTTCTGGCATTTTACAGCCACCCTTGGCTGTAATTTTCTGTTCATGAGACAAGTCACGCTGTTGGCTTGCCCCTTTGATGGAAGAATCTATGAGTTTCCCTGCATTTCCTGATATACCATACTTATCCTTTGATTTTAGTTATGAACAGGACACACCCATGCAGATTGTTTTTTCCTGTAGATTTTCTCTCTTGTAGATTTTGCAATCTTATACCTGGTATCTGCCTTACTATGCAAATATATATCCATTGCAAGACACAGAGTGCGCAATACACACATGACCAGACAGAGACAAGTCTCTGCAACCTCCTCTCTGAAAAGAACATCCCCACTTCTCGTGACCTGCCTTAAATCCCTTAAAAATATCATTTTCAGTATAGATACATAACTCCTTAAATATTATCAGTACATATATATTTCACAGTGATTAGGATGACCAATGAGCTACTGATTCTCGGTGGAGACCTCCCATGCCACCCTTTGGTGAATTATTCTGAATATTTCCAACTCAGAAGATCCCTGTAAAACTCTGGGCACGCCCTGTGCCCTCTGCCAATTGGCACTGAGAAGTTCCTGGGTCATGTATCTCGGCTTGGCACCCAGGGGCCCTGTTAGCCTTGGTCCTACACCCAGGGATGCTGTTAGCCCATGTCTTGAGCCTAGGACCTGCACCCTAGGGTGCCGCTAGGCCATATGCTTTGGTCCCACACTCAGAGGTGCCGTTGGCCTGCGTTTCAGGCCTGGCCCGGTACCCGGGATGCTAAACACTTTGGTCCCAGAGGCTTATCTCCGGCGGGCTCGTATCTCGGACCTGGCCCCGCACCCACATTGGCCCGTGTCTTGCGGGCAGCTCCTGCTCCCTCCCCCTCCTGCCGCAGCTCGCCTTGTTCCTCCGAGCGAGGCCGCCGCCATGTTCTCGGGCTGACGCCGCCGCCGCCGCGCCGCAGCAGGAGGAGGAGGCGGCGGAGGGAAGGGGCCAGCCCCGAGCAGAGCAACAGGTACCGTCCGCAGGCCCAGGGGCGGCTTCCGCGCTGCCCGGCCCCGGCCTGAGGGGCTGGAGCCGTGGGGGTCCGAGGGGACAGAGCCGTCTGCCTGCCGGCTGCGTGAGCAGAGCCCCGGCCCCCGCGGGAGGAGCGCGGCGGGGGACGAGGCTGGGCAGCCCCGTGGTGGGGCAGGCTGGTGGTGGCGGCGGCGAGGAGCGTGGGGGTCCCTGGGCTAGGGGAGTGTTCCTGTGGGGGGCCTGGGGAGGAAAGATCCGGGGAACAGGGCCATGGCTGTGTTGGGGGCCCAGGGAGGGAGCAGGTGCCCTTGGTTGGGGGGGATCTGGGGAGGGAGCAGGTAGGGAGTGACCTTGATTTGGGGGGGGGAGAGTCCAGTGAGGGAGCAGTAGGGGGGTCCTTAGTTGAGGGGGCTGGGGAGGGAGCAGATGGGGTAGCCTTGGTTGGGGGCGGGGCTGGAGAGGGACTCGAGGGTGTGGTTTGAGGACTGTTGTGAGCAGTAATCTTTGGGAAGTGGGGAATGGCCTGGGGAACACATGCCTGGGATTTGAGGTGTTTAGCGAGGAAGGGCTGGAGGGGGCTTGTGAAGGATTTAAGGGGCAGGAGGCTGCTTGAGGATAGGGAGCCCCCGTATGACCCAGCCCATCACTCCCACCTCTAATCTTGTTTCTCTAGTTCATTTGTTACGTTGGAACCCTAAAAGGACTAGGAGGGAGAGAGAGAGATCCCCCCCCCCACCTACTTCTTTGAAGTTTTGTCTGGGGAATGGGACTAGGATTCGATCTTTTCTAGTGTAAGCACTTCTTGCACAGTATAGCAGAGGAGAAAATCTCCGATTTTGTTCATTTTATTTAGCTCACATCACAGTGTGCAGCTGGATGCAGTACAAAAGTTTAAAACCACAATAACTGAAATAGAACTTTGGCAACAAAATAGGCAGCGGATGAGGAAATGTTTCAGGTTTGTGGCTTTTATTAGGCCGAGCAGACGTTTCTTTTGCATTATAAGTTTTTCCTTTTTTAAAATAGTAAAGTTTTATGTGCACTTTTCTCTTCTATGAAAAGTGATTTTTTTGTAACCTTCAAAGCTCTTGGGGCAATGCAGCATTTTACCGCTATGTCCTCTTGAACACAGCTGATGAGTACTGGATTCAACTTCTGTCAGTTTTACCTTTAAATTTTAAAAGCTTTCAGAAATGAGTGAGGATTGTTTACAAATCTCCCCCACACATGTTCTCTCTGATTTGGAAGACGGAGGAGTAAAATTATTGATGCTAAAGCACTTCTGCATGTTTCTATGGGAACTAATTTTCTGTTCCTAGGAACTGGTTTCATAATTTCAGTAATAAAGCGTGGCTGGTAAACCCTATTATGTGTGTGTATGTGTGGTAGTCTGTAAAGAAATGAAAATGGTACCAATGATTAACATTAATGGTATTAAGCACAAACAACAGGTTCAGGCCTCCAAAAGAGACAACATACAGAACATCTGTGCCTGGAGAGCTTACAATCTATAAGAAGATAACACACTGGGAAGGTTAGGTAGATGGACTATACTGGGAATGTCAGAGAATGGAAAATGAAGATTATTATAATTATTGGTTTGCTTCTTAGGCTATTGTGAAAACCAGTAGTTTGAAGAAATTAAGAGCGGATGAAAACTAACTTCCATGGTTAATGCCTTAGGAAATGGTATCTTTTTTTTTTCTGTCCATTTTTTTTTTTTGGCACTGTAATGTTTTATAGAAAATAAAATGTGGCCACCATCTAGGGGACCTGGTTGTGTTCTTTAGGCACTACTATAATTTGGATAATAATTTAAAAGTATATAATTTGCAAATAGAGTGTGACGCGAGTCACACTTTGCAAAATTTTGAAGTAGATTTTAGTTTTAATAATACTTAGCACTTCATCTAAAAAGTGCTTTTATAAACATCAACTAATCAGTCTTCATAAAACCTATGTTAAGCCATTAAGTGTCACTCTCATTTTATAGAAGAGGAAACTGTCAGGGAGTCCCCGGGCGATGCTCTGGAACTGCTCCCTATGAAGCCAATCAGGACTCTGGGAAAGTCTCCTTTCTGTGAGCAGACTGTCTTCAGGACACACAGCTCACACAACTTCCACCTTCCTGGGTCTGACCTTGGAGCATTCAGCATCCTCTGCTCCTCCGTGCTCTTCCCACAGCAACTTCGCAGTCAGACGTGACTCTCAGCCAGCCAGTAAAACAGAAGTTTATTAGACGACAGGAGCATGGTCTAAAACAGAGCTTGTAGGTGCAGAGAACAGGACCCCTCAGCTGGGTCCATTTTGGGAGGCAGTGAGCCAGACAACCACGTTTGCACTTCACTCCTCTTCCCCAGCCAGCCCCAGACTGAAACTGTCTCCAGCCCCTCCTCCTCTCGGCTTTGTCCCTTTCCCGGGCCAGGAGGTCACCTGATCCCTTTGTTCTCCAACCCTTTAGCTCTCACCTTGCAGGGAGGAAGGGCCAGCCCATCAGTCGCCAGGAAACAGGGTGTTGGCCATTCTTTGTGACCAGACCCCTGCACACACCTGTCCTCTAGGGCTCTGCAATGATCATACACCCTTATCCCACCATCTAGATACTTAAGAACTGCATAGGGGAAACTGAGGCACCCGCACAATATTCAGAGGAAACATTAAGAACAGTCCCACTTCGTCACAGAAACTGAGGCACAAAGAATAATTTAGCTAAATCTATCCAGGGAGTCAGTGACAGACCTGGGATTGAAACTCGGGAGTTCTTGTCTCTTTTTTCTGTGTTCAGAAGACTAGATCATGCTTGTCTCCCTAGAGCCTTTTGAGTGACAACTGCCCTAAAATGCAAGTCAGACTCCAAGATTGCATCTACACATGCAACATTTGGACCCTTAGTTCTTCACTGGTGCTGCCGTAATGCTTATATACACTGCCAGCTGGCATTGGTTAGGCAAGTGGGAAGCTGAGACTTCCATTTTTCTCCTAAACTGACCATTTTGTTTCGATAGTACTCCACCCTGTTTGTCTGGTTAGTCTACCTGTTGTATCCTGACTGACACTTAGGTTGTAACCTCTCTGGGACAGTGAGTGTGTTCTTTGTTTTCTGACTGTACTGAATCCAGGACAAAGGGGTCGTCTTTGATGCTTTATTAGGGTTCCTAGGTGCTAGTGTAGTACAAATAAATAATAGGTTCTAGTGATAGCAAAAGTGGAAACTGTACTATAGATAGGGTTTATGCATATTTTTCACCATGTAATCTAATCTACCCCCAGAGGAGTGCACCAGTGATGAATTATGGGAACTGATTTTTTTCCCTCCTTAATGTGGGCAAGATCAAATAAACCAAAGTAGAAGAGGGCTGTTACTGATTTTGAACATTGTTAGTAAGAAGGATTTTGTGAGTTTTGGATATTACCCTAACGGGGCCCATGCAAATACCTAGATTAGTTTTCAAACATTATATATGTATATTGCTGTCATATTACTATTATGTGAATTAAGTTCATTTTCGTAGTAAGATATAAACTACTGAATATGAAGTTTTAGTCCTGTTTGCTATCATAATTTTTTACGCAGCTATTTATCTTGCATTGTTATTTATGTATTCATTCACTGAGCACTCAAAAGTATACTAAGTGCCATTCAGGCAAATGGAAAAAAATAAGGGCCGAGATGTCAAAATTTTCTAGTGTCTTTTGGTTGTTCAACTTGTGACACCAGAAATGAGCACCCAGCCTCTTAAAATTAGGCCCCCTTTAAGTAAGGAGACTGAAGTTGAACACCCCAAAATTGACTTATTTAGAATTATTATTTGCTCTTGCAAATCTTGGGCATGGGCTCTGCCTTGGAGAGATCATGCTTTAATTGACAATTTACAAGAGCCCTGATCTTGCTGAAGGATGTTCTCATTTAGATCACTTTGCAGGAGAGGGGCAAATGAGATGGGGAAAGGGCACAATATTAGACTTTTAAAAACATAAGCTGACTCCTGACTAGTCCCCACTTTTCATTTCACTCCATACCTAAGTGTCTTGATTTTTTAAAAAGTATTATTCCTATCTTATTTCCCTTGTAAGGTATTTTTACTCCTTCCTATTTCCATTTTTTTAGTTTGATTTTAACCATTTGTTTATTTTACTTTTATGAAACATTTAATACTTTTTTCTGATATTATTTGTTTAAATCTTACTTTTTCTATTTTTGTTTCTATTTAGCATCAGCATTTTCTATTTTTAATTGTTTTCTGTTTTCAGATTGTTTCTTTTAATTCTTGAAAACCACTTTTCACCTTCAGAATGCTCCATCTCTCTCTATAGCTTCTAGAATCTAGATTATGGCCCTTGCCATTTCTCTCCATTCTGTTTCAGAAGAAATAAGTGGTGATGAGCATATTCTGTTTTGGAAAAATTCTAATGATGTTGAGCCACTGAGTATGTGAAGGACCTGTTCCTCCTTTTTAATGTTTTACACTGGAGCTCTTGATTTATGTGGCTGAGTGGTGCTGGGGGTTTAATGCCGCCAGTACCTTGCTAAGAAGATGACTGATTAGTTGTCCCTTTTTATTTATGACTGTAGTTTATTTTATATAGTATGCAAAGATCCTTTCAGGTTGTATGTGTATTTGTCAATAAAACAGTATTGTTTGGACTAAGTATTGTGATAACCTTTGGGTATAAAATGAAAGTGAGGTTACCTATATTTTTAAACTGTAAACATATATTATTAACTTCGTTCAATATTAGCCTCATCCAGTGTATTTTTGAAAGCTCTTGGAGACCACGTTTTCCCTGTGCCCAGCCTTGTGACAGCTGATGCAACAGACCTATTCCACCTTGGTTGAGCATGCGGCTTTTGCTGTGCTTTGAAAGCCAGATTGATTTCTCAATGGGAATTAGGCACCTAACGTGCCCCGGTGTTTTGAAAATCTTACTAGACATCTTTGAGTGCCTCAGTACCTTTGAAAATCTTATCCTGAGTCCCCCTAAGCATGGAACTTAAGG